GAATGCCTACTATATATATGGTTTTACTAATTGTGTTTTTACTAATATAAGATTAAATAGCGATAAAATAACATGAACTTAAGAATTGAATTTCAAGATTATTAGATATATAAATTTGATTAGTTAAGATTGTATCCGAAGGTAAGCATCACCATAGTAACAATGTAGTATTTATTTTTTGAGAAGTCATCCGGTTGATAACTAATTCATTTATGGCGGTGGTTTGCAAAATTCTGATTGCTCTATTAATCCCCCCGATAAATAAAATCTGTATTAACGGCAGGGATAAGTGACCAAATCCCGTGATTCTGCATACAGAGATTCGTGACGTAATTCATAGCTCTAATCAAACGCTATTACCCAATTAACACTGGTTACTCAAACCAAGTCTTTCCACGCCTCGATCGTTGCCTTACCACTATTAGGGTTTGGTTTTATTAGTTGTGGTGTTCGGGTTAGAGTAGTTTAGTGAGTTTTAGTAGTGTATATGTACGCCATTGTTAATCAAATGGTTGTTAAAGATTGCCGACCTATTAAAAATGATAAGTGGCTCATTACGAACAAAATTAAATTATAAAAAGAAAATGCACAAATTAGATATATACGTATAAAACAGCATACATACAATAACACGCACGTTTATACAAATTAGAGAAAAATCGAGATATAGCCTGCTAGAGAAGCCTCATACGCAAATTAGGGAAATCGAGCTACATATAGGTGGAAAAGCCCAATAACTATTTACATACGTAATCGTATATGTCCTATATAAAAAAACCAGTTTGTAAAATAGCACATCTATAAAAAATATAGAAATAAGTAATCATATGACACATATAAAATGAAATATCCAATCAAAAGCACGTATTAGTACAGAACACTTGACTTGCCGCTTAACCATACACTCCGTTCCTGGTAGATCCAAATACTAGGAAAACCCGCCTTTGTCATTTTTTCAACAATTTTGAGATTTTTGATTCAAATTAAAGTGTCGGTTTCTATCCAAATGTATTTCACTTTTTACCCTAAGTTAATATAATAATTTATCGAGATATTTTAACTTGAATGTAAACCACGTTCTTGTTCTAAAAATAGATTGACAACCAAAGATTGACGACTCAATTAAATTAGATTGGTCAATCAGTGTTTTATTGATATCTAAAAATAAACAAGTAAAATTTAGGTTTCACAGACAAATAATCGGCATTTTCGCACATTGTATATTGGGCAAATACACCATGTGATCTAAATAACCAATCAGAACGATATAACAATCTGGTGTAACACTAATGCTAATTTTTAAGGGGTTATAAAAAATTTAATTAGATGATCATCCTACTATAGTGTAAGTGAATAGGGCGTCAATCACCAGATTGGCAGGGTGAATTCTCGTTCAATTCTCTCCTAGTACACTCCGAAAAATATTCGGTGTAGAATATGAAGACGAGTGCACACGTATTAGGTATGATAATATGTTTTTATATGATTTTTTAAGTTTATTATGAAAAGCTTAATATGCCTCCAAAGTTTACATTATATATCTTTTGATTTTGGAGCTGTTCTAATTCCTGTATTTAATAATAAATGTTTTGAATTTTGTCGATCTGCTATATTTTGGTTATATCAATCACATGAGTTTAATTCTTGTTCTTTATTTTTGGCACCGATTTTAGTTTTTTCCATGATTTTAGCACTTTTCGAAAACAACACACCGGTTTTAGCACTTTCTAAGAACGTCACTTCGATTTCAACATTTTTCAAGAACACCACGCTGATTTCATCACTTTTCAAGAATACCACACCGGTTTTGGCTATTTTCAAGAACTCCATGCCGATACTACGCTGATTTCAACACAACTTCTTTGATCCCTCTAGTAATATCTTTTTGAAGGAGTATATCACAGATGCACTGGCAAGGATACACTCTAACTTCTTGAAAATCTTAACAATTAATAACCTTGGATTAGAAGAACAGGCATTTACATATCAGCTTTGCAAAAACACACCCGGTAATACTGTAATAACCTTGAATAAAAGAAGGAAATATATGCTTTACAATAACATCACACTTGGATTTTCTAATCTTGAAAGTAACAACGTTGGATCAGAATGAAGAAAAGAATTTGCAGGTAGGTTTTGCAAAAAAAGCCATGCTGTCTTTTTTAATTATTGTAGGCAATAACTTTGGATCAAAGAGAAAATGCATTTCCAGATACATTTTGCAAGAACATGCTAACTTTTCTCGAATGGAATTAGATCGAATGAAGAAAAAGCGTTAGCAGTGTATTTTGTAAGAACTCTAGGTTGACTTCTTGAATCTTTATCGGAATAATCCTGGATCGAAAGAAGGAAAAACATTAGCAGATGCATTTTACTTTTTTATAAGAACACCACGCTGACTTTTTTGAATCTTAGTTCAAATAATTTGGATCCCTCTAGTAATATCTTTTTGAAGGAGTAAATCGCAGATGTACTGGCAAGGATACACTCTAAATTAGAAGAACAAGCATTTCCATATCAGCTTTGCAAAAACACACCTGGTAATATACTGTAATAAAAGAAGGAAAATTATTTATAGATATGCTTCACAATAACAACACACTTGGATTTCGAATCTTGCTAGTAATAGCGTTTGATCAGAAGGTAGAAAGCATTTGCAGGTACGTTTTAAAAAAGCTATGCTGTCTTTTTTAGTTATTGTAGGCAATAACTTTGGATCAAAGAGAAAATTCATTTCCAGATATATTTTGCAAGAACATGCTGACTTTTTTTGGATCTTGGTTCGAATAGAATTGGATCGAATGAATAAAAAGCATTAGCAGTGCACTTTGTAAGAATTCTAGGTTAACTTCTTGAATCATTTTCAAATAATCCTGGATCGAAAGAAGGAAACTCATTAGCAGATGCATTTTACAAGAACACCTCGCTAGCTTCTTTGAATCTTAGTTCGAATAAATTGGATTGGATTGTGGAAAATCCTTAGTCTTTGACTTGAACCTTTATCGGAATAATCCTGAATCGAAAAAAGAAAGAATTAGCTCGAATAAATTGGATTGGATTGTGGAAAATCCTTAGTCTTTGACTTGAACCTTTATCGGAATAATCCTGAATCGAAAAAAGAAAGAATTAGCTAATACGTTTTACAAGAGCACTACACTTATTTCTTTAGATCTTAGTTCGAATGAAACTGGATTAAATAGAGGTAAAGCATTATTAGATACACTCTGCAAGAGCTCTACGCTGACTTCTTTAGATTTTACTATGGTCAAAGTATGCGCATGAAAAAAAGCATTTTAATAGTATTTGAAACTTTGTTTTAGTAATTAATTCTTTTTTTTACCTCAGTTTCTAAATGCGATAAATCCAACGAGCCACGTAGTATCGGATATAGCTGCAGAAATTGCATAGATGTTGCTAAGGATAAAAAAAGGAATCCGAGTGTCTGCTGAAGGTCCGTTATAGCGAAAGTATTGGCATAAAAAAGCATTTGAATTGTGGTTAAAATCCGATGAAGGGAACGATATACTAGATTGCCTGCTATGCTTTTAAGTTGTTTTCAGTAAGTAAATTTTTCTTTTTTTCCTCGTTTTTTTTTTTTATTTGCTGTTTAAATATAACAATTCTAATGGGTAGTTGCAGTCTTGAACATTGTTACAGAATTGGCAAAGGCATATCTAAGGATTAAAAAAGGGGATTTGAATTGTGTTTGTAATTTAATGGAGTTTGCAATTCAAATAGACTGATGGCCTTGGAGCATACTATGGTGAAAATATATGCATAAAAAATAGAATTTGGATGGTATTTAAATTTTATTTCTGGTAATTTTCCTTTTTTCACCTACAGTTTCTGAATACGGAACCCCAACGGGCCATGTAGTCTTGAACACAGCTACAAAATCTGCATAGATACAACTAAGAATTAAAAAAAAAACTTTGAGTGTCTTCTGAGAGTTGTAATCCTAATGGACTGAGTGGAATATACTATAGCGAAGGTACTGACGTAACAAAACATTTGAATGGTGGCCAAAATCTGCTGAAGGGGACAATATACTAGACCATCTGCTACGCTTTGGAGTCTTTTCCTGTAAGTATTTTTTTTATTTTTTTTCCTTCTTTTTTCACCTATTGTTTTAAATATGGCAATTTCAATAATTAGTGTAGTTTTGTCACTACTACGGAAATGACATAGATACGTCTAAGGATGAAAAATTGCTTTTTAACGGTGTTCAGAATCTGAAAAGGGTTGCAATTCAAACACACTAGTGACATTTGAACCTGTTATGGTGAAGATATAAAATTAAAAATCATTCGAGTGGTTTTAAATTGTTTCTTACGTATAGATTCTGGACGTGGCAACTCTAACGAAACGTTTATAGTAAAAATTAGGATTGTTATTATAAATAGTAAACAATTGCATTGCAGTCGTGACAGTATTAGTTATGCAATAATATCCAAGATATGTATTTCACTCAAATAAATAAAGATTATATCGACATTACTAACATCAATATTACAATATTATTGTTATAAAAAAATAAATAAATAAAAATGTTATTAATACTACAATACTGTATAATTTTAATTTTAGTAATTATTTATTATTTAATTATTCCTCTAAAAGCACCAATGTATGATGCTCTCCTGCTGCAATTTGTTGTACCTTTGGCAGATTTTTGAAAAAATCTATTAATTATACGTATATGCCGTGTTTCAATACGAATTCATTTTTTTAGGTTACGCATTTAATTTATTTACACTTTCAATATTTCATTAATTATTCGTTAAATTATTTAATAGCATGATAGGTTATTTGTTATATTTATTATGCTTATTCTAATATTATTTCGATTTTATCATAAATTTATTATTAGATTGAATATTTAAAGATTTAAGGAAATTAGTGTGGTGCTCTTATAATGCGCAGCTGCTACCAAATTCTTTCCCTTTAGCCCTAGTCCATTTCCTTGTAAATTCAAGTTTTTTAAGGAGATATTTTTGCAAATTGCATCAGCTAATGCTTTTCCTACTTCTGATCCAAGCTTATTATTATTAAGAGTCAGAGAAATTAATGAAGTGTTCTTGCAAAGGGCATCTGCTAATGCTATTCCTCCTTCCGATAGAAGATCATTATTACTAATATCCAATAAGACTAAGGTAATGTTTTTGTATAGTGCATCTGCCAATGCTTCTCCTCCTTCCGATCCAAGATTATTTTTATAAAGATTCATAGAAGTCAATGTGGTATTCTTGCACAGTGCATCCGCTAAAGCTCGTCCACCTTCTGATCCTAAGCTGTAATAGCATAGTCTTAAACTTTTTAAAGTTACGTTTTCACAGATTGCACTTGCTAATTCTTTTCCTACGTTTAATCCAATATTATTAATATTCCTTCTTCCATGAAGATCTAAAGAGGTTAACGTAGTGTTGCGACGAAGGTAATTTGCAAGCATCCATCCACCTTCGTCATTAATTTGATGATCATAAATTCCCAAATTATTTAGAACAGTGTTGTTATAAAGAGATGACAATAATAGGTTCATCCTTTTCTTTCCAACTGGGATTGATCTAAGATTTAACGAAGTCAAGATGGTATTTTTCTCCATATTCTTTAATAATCCATCTACTGCCTTAGATACAAAATCAGGCTTGGCACCATGCCGAATATAAAGATCTACAGAGTTAATTGTAGTGATATTCAGCATTTTATGATCACAAATTAGATCCTTAAGATATAAATGTTTAAGAATCTTGCAACTTCGTAAAATCATTTTAATTAGGGAATTTTTAATCGCATTTTCAAGCTTATCTCCTCCATTAACACCATAATCAGAAAGCCACTCTCTAATTCCGTCGTATAAATCTTTTGTAATTGAAGTGATAAAACTTGCATACTCAAACAGTGGACTTGTCTGACTTGGTATAGTAATATTAAAAGGACTCAATAAAGCCCTTTCTTCTTCATTTAACATTGAAAGAAGCCTTTCTATAAGTTGTTTTCGGTTAAAGCGGTGCTCTGGTTTGCTCCATAATATTGGTATAATAATTCTAGACCACTGACGATTTACCAGAGCACATATGAATAAAGTTTTATTATCTTGTTTAAAATCATTTAAAATTTGATATAAGCATTCGATAGACAATGTTTCCATGGTGAAAAGTTTGGGTTGATCGAGAAGAAATATTACGAAATCAATCTTTTTTCTTGACCCCTGATTACGTATATTATACGTGTCTATATGATGCGTCATCGGTCATGTAACATCATGTATATCAATTTTTTGGCCAATAAAATTGTAGCGCAAGTGCCTGAAACTTTCGGCGCAGCAAATTTTATTGACTAAAAAATTGATGTACATGAAGTTACACGAAACCGATATATATGTCGTAGGTTGGAATTAGTGATGCCGTAGAATCGTCCCAATGAAGTTGAATGATAGTTGCCACATGCCGTAACTATAGTAAATAATAAGTAAAGTTACGGCTATAATGTCGTAACTTTACTATGTTACTTACTATAGTTACGGCAAGTTACAGCCATGTGACAATTATCATTCGACTCTCTAGTTGGAATAGTATTTAAGTTGATTCGGAATTTTTAAGGTTAGGGTTGGGATTTTTAGTATAATGATTCCGTTCTATCTAAGTGGATCCCGAACCCTATTATTGCTCCATCCCCATTTACAACATATATACAATGATAATCCTTAATAACGTGATATGATCCTAGCCAATCAGGAAGCACAATCACTTTTTTCTAAAAAGTAGCATTAACTTAAAATTTTGTCTAAAAAAAACACATTTTGCGTAATAACAAAAATTTTGGTAAAACAC